ATATAATAACAGTTATATAACTTAATAAAAGATACATTTTTTATTATTTTAATATATAATATGATTATATTAATTGTCTTTCAATTTTTAAAATTTTTATATATTATTATAAATGATTTTCTACTTAAGCTTAAGAATAAAAGAAAAATCATATGTTTTTAGAATATTAATTGTAATAATACTATTTGAGTAGTGAACTAAAGAAAATAAAGAGTAACCTATATATAAAATAATTTGAAATTTCAAATTTAAATAATTGTTCAATTTAAAATTAAGGCAAATTGAAAACTTGTTTATTATTTCAATTTAAAATTAGCATCACAATTATTGTCAAAAATCGAAGCCAAATTAAAATGCCGCAGTTTGAAATTTTAAAGTTAGATAAAATTTAGAACAGATCGTAACTTAAGACATTACATATTAAGTTAACATAACATAAAAATCCTTCAGGCTTTCTTTTACAACATTTGATAAAAAAACTCGTTATATAGGAGACTTTTTATATGGTTTCCAAAAATTGAATAACCAATTTCTCAAAAAAATGGAATTCAGAAAATTGAACCCACAATTTTATACAATTTTGCTTATAAGCGTAAAATGTATCATTTTGATTAAATGCATCTGTAACTTCATCACATTAATCATCACACCATAATTAGCACCTATACTGTATAATATTTATTAGATTAAGCATAAGCCGTTTATATTAATCAAATGCTTTGCCGCAAAATAGCAATATAAGATACATCTATACCTCTCAATTGTGAACCTTGGTATATTTGGTGGTTGTTATATTTCGCAAGCCTCCCTAATCCCAAATTTTGAATGCGCAGTCTTGTTTCTTTGCATTAAAAAATTTTTAACAATTAAAACGTGTCCAAATGCTATAACCCATTTTGGGTCTGATCTGCGCGACTTTTAATTTTCCACTTTTTCAAGTCGATCAATATTTCCACTGATAATCTAAAAAATTATTTTAGAAATTTTCTTTAGCGAAAATGGTTTCTAACATTACGTTTTGTTTATTTCAACGACATTCTCAAAATATTGCTCGTATGGTTCGTACAAATCTTAAAATGAACATTACTTCGAAAAACACGCAGTATTTTCCAACTTCTAGATACTTTCACTTTACAACTCAAACCCAAAACTTTTCGTTAACTAAACAAAAACCTTTTTTTATGCCATTAAAACCTTCATTTACTAATTCATATCGAAAATTAGTTTCTCCTGTAAATGTATCAGTTTTAGCATTACGAAGAAATTCTGTCAAAACAACACCACCTCAAACATTCATACCCGCTGCTACTACAACTATCAAGTTTACCAAACCTATTGTTGGATATTGGTTACTTGGTACAGCAGGATTAGTCTTTGGAATTGTTGTATTTGGAGGTCTTACTAGGTTAACTGAAAGTGGACTTTCAATTGTTGAATGGAAACCAATTACTGGCATAATTCCTCCCTTAACAAACGATCATTGGAAACAAGAATTTGAAAATTACAAACGATTTCCAGAGTATAAATTGTAGGTAAGTTACTTTAATTAATGATATAATATATTTCTTTTAAATTTTTAAAAAAAATTTATTATCAGTTTAATTCGTGTTATTGTAGGTTGAATTATGAAATGACATTGCCAGAATTTAAATATATTTATTTCATGGAATGGACTCATCGAGTTTGGGGCCGTGCTATTGGTTTAGCATTTATTATACCAGCAACATATTTCGGATTTCGTGGGTATATTTCTAAAGCAACACTAAATAAAGTCATTGGACTTGGAGGATTGCTTGGATTTCAGGTAAGTTTACTTTTCTTTATATTTCCAACATTCATTTGATTTGATAACTTGATTGATTTGTAGGGAGTATTAGGATGGTACATGGTTAAATCTGGATTGTCTGAAGAATTGATGGAAACTCCAAATGCAGTTCCTCGCGTTAGTCATTATCGATTAGCTGCACATTTAGGAAGTGCATTCCTGCTTTATGCAGGTATGATTTTAACTGGATTACAAGTTTTACAAGATGCCAAACTTGCAAATGGTACTTTTTCAAAAGTAAAGTATTTCAGAGAATTTTTTTTTTTTAAAAATATATATATATAATTATATATATAATTTTTTTATTTAAAAATTTCTTACTCCTAGGCTGTTGCTAAAACGTTGGCTAATCCGGCAATTAATACTTTTCGCCGATTTGCAATTGGCACAGCAGTATTGGTGTTTCTAACTTCCATGTCTGGTGAATATAAAAATTGTTTAATAAAAGTAAAATCTTTTTATATAATTCTAATCTTTTTGATTTAGGTGCATTGGTTGCTGGTTTGGATGCAGGATTGATATATAATGAATTTCCATATATGGGAAAAAGCATTGTTCCGCCAAGGTCAGAGCTATTTTCAAAAAATTATGCAAGACCTGATGATAGTATTTTATGGAGAAATTTTTTTGATAACCCAACAACTGTACAATTTGATCACAGAGTATTAGTAAGTTTTACATAATAACTTTTTCTTTTCTTTTTATATAGTTTATACCTAATTAATTAATTTCTTATAATTAGGGTGTAACAACACTTAGTGTAATTACAACATTATGGTTTTATTCAAGAAAAGTACCATTACCACTACAAGCCAAACTTGCTGTAAATTATTTACTTGGTATAGCAAGTTTACAAGTTATTTTGGGAATTAGTACTTTGATTTATATGGTGCCGATTCCTTTAGCATCTGTTCATCAAGCTGGAAGTTTAACATTATTATCATCTGCTTTGTGGTTAATACATACTATGAGAAGAATACCAATTAAAATATAATATTATAGAAAGCTTTCGTTAATTTTAAGAATCATTATTTATGTAATTTTTAAGATTTTTAAAATTATAATAAAGATACAAAACATTACATATATTTATATAAGTAAATAAATATAGTAAATAATTTCAAAAAGGGATTAAAATTTCTTCTTTTTTAATATAGTTTAGCTAGTTTAAATATTATTTTTAATCTTTTCATTAAACTTCACTTGTTATAATTTAATTACCGTATTTTTTCGTATTTTTCTGTTATTAAGCACCCTAAAAAAGTACCAAAAATAAGCATTCCCAAAATTTACCGAACCAAATTATATTTTAAAGAATAAATTTACAAAATAAAGGACAATTCTAAACTATTCCTCATAATTACTACTTACAATTAATTACAATTTAACTCTATTAAAAAAAGGATTATTCTCTAAAAGTAATATCTTCGTATCTTTCAAATAATTAAAATTGCAATTAATAAAATAAATTTTTTTGTGAATTTGCTATATCCATTAATTCAGATATTGATTATCTCAAATTTCTCCTCATTCTTTTTTATCACAATCTTGAATCTTTCCAGTTTAAAGGATTTGATTGAAAATTCTCGGGTGAAATAAATGAATTCTCAAAATGCAAAGTTGATATATTTTTACATTGAATTAAAGCTTTTAATGCTTCTTTATCTCTCATAAACACATCAGCGATTTCAAGCTTCTTTAGCGAGTGAGCAACGTCTTGCACCGTCGAGAGGATGTTAGAAATGGTCGTATCATAATTAGAACCTATGGCAACTCCATTCCCAAATATTATCAAATTTTCGAGACGATTTTGATTGTGAATCAGGGATATCATTGATTGTTGAATGGCGTCAAAATTGTCCCCTCGAATTTGAATCGTTCTCAATTTTTTGCATAATTTTGATAAATTTTCTAAAACGGACAGCTTTAAAATATTCGAACCAATTTCCAAATATTATAAATTTTCAAGGGATTGTTTGGACGCAGGAATATTTAAAACCATTGAAAGACAACGTTCAAAGTTAAAGATCAACTTGTATCGTCTCAGTATATCCTCATAATCACTGTCATCATCATCATCATCATCATTCAATTTTTTAATATCTCTGTTTCTCGTATCAAATTTTTAGAAATTTAATATTTGGCCTTTTCTTTTACTATCGCTTCAAATATAAGTGAGAGAAATATTAAAAATGGTCTAACTCTTGAATCTTGTTCATTAGAACGTCCAAAGCATTGGCTTTTCTTCAAAGATTTTAAAACTATCCTACTTAAATGATGAAAATCCAAATGAGTAATCAATCGTGGGTAATTAAAAGAGAAGGGTTCTGATAACGATTGAATTTCTTCCTTTTTTGTTGATAAATTCTCGTTTTCAATTAAAAGATAATCATAATTTATAAAAGCAAGTAAAATAGGAAGGATCTTTATATGATTTTTCAATTTAATATCATTCCGAAAGGGATCTTTCCATAAAAATTTAATTCCATTTTGACACCAAGCGCGATTTTAAGGTTTTGGTATCATCGATATAATTAAAATATGTTGTAAGGTTTCGTTTGGTAACTTTGCGACCATATTTTTTTATTGAACGTTAAAGGAAAGGGAAAAAGAAAGAGAGAAGTCAAAAGTTAAGAGAAAGAAGTCAAAACCCCTTTTATATTAAATTTAGTGCGAATCAAACGTCAAAATTACGCGTAAAAATTGTTTTGTCATAGTGATATAGCATATTTTGAATCTGTGACCAGTTACACCAATAATTACTATATAATTACTATATTAGGAAGGCGTGATGTGATACGCGTTTCGATTTTAGGTTAGTGTTTGCATGTTTGTCACTTCCTTATTTGTCATCCAATCGGCGTAACCTATCTCAGATTTATAAATTCTAAAAGATTAGATGATCATTTCAGCTAAATATTTTTCCATAAATGCTTAACTTATCTACACATATTATTTAATTTAACTTATCAAAGATTTTCTTTAGCAGTTACTCTAGCATTATTATTAGTCATTAAAAGATGCTATTCTTTCAAAAATTGTCTTTAAATAGTTTGTTAAACATAACATCAAGAGGTTGATAAACTATCTTAGTATTATTACTTGATCAAAATCATTTTTATAAAATTTTTCTTTATAGTGGTGATCATAAATTATGCAATAAAAAAAAAATTTCAATAAAACGAAATATTTTTTGTAATTATGAAAATTTTTAATTTTTTTTTTATTATTTTAATTAATAATATTATAATTTTCTAAAACTAAAATTTAAACATAAATTAATAAGTAAATTAT